AAATGTCTTAAATTTTGTATAGCACAAACAGTACAGCCAATAAACTTGGATTTTATGTGAGAGACCAAAATAAAAACATACTTGCGCAATCCTGGTTGCTGAATAATGAAACAAGACAGGTTTGATTTCAAACAACCAAAAATATGATGCCAATTACACAAAAGTAAATAAATAGATATAAAATTACAGATTTGTAGAAATAGATGAATTGCTGTGCACTATATGTATCCAAATATACAGAAATAATTACCAACAAAAAAACACAGCACATTTAAGTATAAAACAAAACAACAACATTAAAAGTTGGCAATAATTAAACAGACTGTTGCCAATGGTTTCTCTTTATTCTATGCTCTACCTGTACAGCATTGACAGAAAGCCATGCTTTTAAAGTCATTTTTATATTTATTCTCTCAAAAAAGCTATTATTTTTCATCATGTTTAAATTCGAAATTAAATGCTGATTATTTACTTCAGTTTTTATGTTTTGCATTATACATTTATATAAATATCTCATGATTTAGAAAGTTTTTGCTTATATATACTACATATATAGATATATATATCTATCTATCTATATATATATATATATAGATAGATATATATATACTATAAATATACTTATTATCATCTGCTAGTTTTTAATTATTAAAAGGCCACTAAGAGATCAGTTATTTTTTTATTTTTTTAATCCTAAATCTTTCAGTTTAACTTTCCAGATTCTGTTCTATCTGATCATTTTGTTTTTGTTTACAACCAGCTCCAAGAGCCCTGACAACCCATTTGACTGTGGCCTTCACAGTGGTGTTTGGAGTCGTGCTGGTGTTGAATTCGTTGGGCTGCTTCTTGGGGCGGAAGTGGAAGAACAGGCGTGACAAAACAAGTACCTGTGATTATCTTTTCATCTGCGGATGGGGAAGTGTTACTCGCTTTCTTGTCTCTGCAATGTTCCGATTTCTCCCTGCAAGACTCTAAAGACATTACTCTGAGCAATGATGTAATTGTCAGCTCGGCACCACCTCATCCCCTCATGTCCCTCTTTCTGTTTGTGTGTCCTGTCTCCTTTCCTTTTCCTCACCATCTGAGCCTCTACCTCGCTCTGGATTCATCCCTCAAATCTGTCACTTCAATGTTGCATTCATATCTTTTATCTCATTGGCCGGCTTCATGTCCTTCCTCTCTCCCCCTCCTTTTGTCTCTTTCCATTTGGTTATCAGCCTAACCATCAAGGCCTCCTTCTCAATCTTTAAGGTTTTGCATTTATTCAGCACCTTTCCTTGCCCTCTAGTTTTTACATTGAATTTCTTTCACATCTCGCTAATCTTTCATTCACTCTTGCTCTCTGGCCTCTTTAGTTTTCTGATAAAATTCAACGCTTTTGATCGGATAGCTCTCTGCTTTAAGTATTTCTTTCTTGTATTTCTGTTTCCCCTGTAGAGGCAAAAGGAGACAGGGCCGTAAATGGACAAAAGCTTGAAGAGGAAATGTAAGTCAAGGCTTTTTATATCAATGGATGAAATAAAGGTTCACACATGTTATTCGCTAACGTATTGAAAGCAGCTTGGGAGGCAAAAAGAGCTTTTGCTTGATAAAAATCAATCTAAATGTCTTAAATTTTGTATAGCACAAACAGTACAGCCAATAAACTTGGATTTTATGTGAGAGACCAAAATAAAATACTGAATAATATTAATGTAGAAGGAAAAGGTAACATGGTTTCAATTTTTCTTGTTAAATAAAAATGTTTGTTATAATTCATAATAATGGGTTAACATGTCAGGGGTTTTAAAATACTAAAGATAAATTCACACCAAATGTGGATTATGCAGCTGGAGCAGAGGATTTCCATGTTATTCCTTTGTTTCCCTTTAGGATTAATAAAGTTTAATTGAATTGAATGTAAATGGTGAGATGCAGCTTTCCAATAGACTGATGAATGGTGCATTCTTTGGTGAATTGGTGAAATTAGATCACTTTAATGGCTGCAAAACAGGCAAAGCAAAATTTGCAGGAGTTCAAAATTTTTTGTCTACATTTGTGTCAAAAAAAATAAAGTTGAAAAAGGAAGTGGAACATGCTCTTAAGAG